AGGTTTTTGAAAAATAAAAAACATGTTACACTTAAAACAAAACAACCCACCAACTAAGCATTTACAAATGCATCTACAAAACCTTCTACATTATATATTCGTTGTGCACAAAAGGTTTAGGTGAAAACCGGTTTCTGAAGTATGCATTCAGACTCTGGAAGTGTGGGTGGATCAAGGGTTATCAGCGCATAAACTGGATTCGGCCTGCAGAGTTTAAAATAGTTTGGGTTCACTTCGCACTAATGTCTTTGTAAAAGATATGAGTAAAATGATTTGGTAGTCTTAGAAATTTAGACTCGGTTATAAACCAGTGAAAGAAAAGAACATCTCTGAATTTTAAAACATGAAGAAAACAAAATTAAAATCATTCTATTTACCAAGATCAATCATAACAATGCACAGTTTACATATATTAAAGAAAAGGAAGATGTGAAGAGTCATATATTGCTTAGGTTCTTTCCCTTTCTATTTCCTCCTTTATTTCCTTTCTATCGCTTTTTTTAAGATTCGTTTTGTTTCTCTCTCTCTATGTTTTTGGTCTCTTCTTTTGTTTTTCTCTTTTTTATTTCTTTTTTTTTATTTCTTTTTCCCTTCTATTTTCTTTGTCTTCTTTCTCTTCTCATCTGCTCTCCTTTTTTTTACTCTTTGAGTCTTGATTCAGTTTCTGATGGTTCCTTTTATTCCTTTCCGCCATTTTCCAGACTTTTTCCTCTGCCGTCAAACTTTTAACTCTACTCTTCGACACTTGGTCAAGCAAACATCCGGACAGCCTAGCAAAACTTTTCTACGGACATTTCTATTCTGGAATAAACGCTGCATTGTCCATCCGGTGATGTCCATTATGCAAAGAGGCAAATAATATTTTAATGAAAAGTTGAACGAATAGGAAGTTAAGTCTATAACTTTGCTGAACCTGCGAACATTTCAAGATTAACATTTCAAAAAAAGAAAATGTAACTCAAGGGGAAGACAGTTGTGAACATATTGTTAACAAGTTTTGATACTCGGTTGGATATATTTTAAATAAGTACCAGATTTGTCAAACACTGACCTGAATTTGTTATTGCTATTTAATTCTGACAGTTTGTGGATAAAATTGGTTTTCTTAACGGGAAATCACACAATCGATGCAAGCAACATTTTGGCTTGAATTCACTTGAAATAAACAAAATTAGTTTTATTATATCTAAAAATGTATAAATCTTGTCTAAAATATGAAAAAGGTATCTATATCATAAAAATGTAAATAAGCAAGCATTTAAATATTGTCAAAAATATATTAACCATATTTTTCGTTTTGCCATTAAATATGAATCGCCTTTAAGCATGTTTCTCGGAGTTACTTTTATACTATCAAATAGAACATCAGGCATATCTCTTCTTTTGTATGATGTAATGTCATTGCTAAATAGTTTTACTGTGTAGGGGAAACAGTTCACTTATAACACTTATTTCACCAACCGCAGCTTATTGTTTCAATTCTCCCTAATCTGTTTTTTGATTTCATCTTGCCAAATACAAAAAAAAATATTCACATTTGAAGCTGTAGAAACAGCGTGACGTTACAGAAATCAAATTAGATTAGAGATTTGACTACTGATTAACACTAAAATTTGAGAAATGCATTTTCTTGAAAATCTATAAAAACACTCCATCTAGAAATTATAAAAACACCGCAAAGGAAGATAAAATGGAATTTATTTAAAAAACTAATCCAGATTTTAATAAAATGTTCTGAAGTTAAGTTTTATTTTCATCATGGTTGTAAATTTATTACGAGATTGTTTTTTGTATTTTCTTTTAAAATAAAAACAGAAATAAAAATGATGTGCAATAATTATAAAAACAACAAAGGTCAATAGTCTTATTAACAAAAAGTTAGTAAAAAATTAATATTTTAAGCCTAGACACTGTCTTTAAAATGGAATGGCACGATATCTTACTAGTTTTGCCAATTTAGAGAGCGTAGATTGAGAAATAGCCTATTTCAGTTGCTCGGGAATAAATATTGGGTGTTGCCAGTGCACACATATTCTGTCATCGATAAATGTTTTCTATTGTATTGAGGTTTAGCAATAAGGTAGGCTACTTCATTGCAGATGAAAAATCACTGAGATGCGAACAGTTTTGCGCAGTACGGCAAATCATATTGTCATGCTGAAAGATTACGTGTTTCTTTCTTTTTATTTATTGGCAGCTTTGGGATTATCTCTTCTAACATCCCTTGGTACATGAGGGCTTTCAAAGTTTCGTTAACGATAACTACACAGTATACTCCAGAACCAATAAAGCTACTCCAGACAAAATATATATATATATATATATATATATATATATATATATATATATATATATATATATATATATATATATATATATATTATATAAATTTTTCCCAAAAAAAAAAAAAAACGACTTGCACACACCTTATATAGTTGATCCAATTTATAATTTTCAAAATAAGGCCACTGTGAATTTTGTATACGCAATATGAGTTCGATTAATTGGAATATATTTAACTCGATTATTTTGTCCGTATTACGAGGCTTTCCAATTATATGAAGCAGCATGTAAACAATTTAGATATTTAAATTTTAGGATTTAATAACAATTCACTATCAGAGCTAACAGGAACAATTTTCCCGCTTCACCAAAATCATACATTTAATTAAGAACTGAGAAAAATATTTTTCGGACAAAATTATTTTAGAACGTTTTCTTGATAAATTTAGTAATAAATTGAACGACTTTAATCTTTAATGCTTGATGAGGTTTGAAGACTTTCACAAATGTAATTTGCTGTATAAATTACATGTGAACAAAATCAGCGGAAGATAACAGACTACCATCATTACATTGTACCATAATTATTACAAATTATCCATTGATTCATAATTAGTCAGTTCAAAGCTTTAGGTTGCATATGATGCGATATTTATACAGTCAAATATCAGTCAGTTAAGTGCCATAAGTTATACACGTTTGGGCGATGCCATTTCTTTCTAGACAACCAAGGCTAAAGAATCCAGTCTGTCCTGCATTTCAACCCATAGCTGGGGGAGATGGATTCATACCTTGGTATTTGTGCATAAGTGAATCCAACGAACTCGACTTGAATTCGAACTCGGCTCTCCGAGTTTTCACTCCAAGCCGATATCCATTACACCACAACATATATCCAAATATAATTGATCTGTTTGTTTAGATCGAATAAATGTATACCTTTATTGACCGGGAATCAAATTAATCTGTCATCACACACACACACACACACACACACACACACACACACACACACACACACACACATATATATATATATATATATATATATATATATATATGTGTGTGTGTGTGTGTGTGTGTATAGGTTAATTAGATCCCCGGTGAGTAAAGTTATCTGTTTATTGGATCTAAACAAACAAATAAATAATATTTAATTACTCATTATTTACTCTATTGCTAGTTTCAGAAAATATAGAGCTATATGCAGCAAAAAAGTCCTTTAAAGCTTCGAACTAACTAATTTTGAATCAATAATTTATCGATACTGGTAACTATTATGGTAGAATGTAATAATGGCAGTCCGTTATCTTCCATTGATTTTGCTCAGATGCAATTTCTACAGCAAATTACATTTGTGAAATCTTCAAATTTCATCGACGATTAAAGATTCTAGCCGTTCAATTTATTCTTACATATATATATATATATATATATATATATATATATATATATATATATGTATGTATGTATGTATGTATGTGTGTGTGTGTGTGTGTGCGCGTGTGTGTGTATAATAACGTAACTTTAAACAAATACTTAAGCGACACCAATAGCAATATTAACACAGAAAAGGTGTAATTCTCGAAAAGGTATTAAACAGGAAACATAAATGTTTAAGGCGTCATCTACAAGGCTAGTATTAAACATAATAGTGAGACAAAATTTTATTTCGGTTCCACAGCCAAAAACTGGAAAACAAGATTCTATCATCATAAAATGACTCTTACAACGAAACTCACAAACTTTTACTGTGATATTAAAACAGATAACTATACACCGACAGTAAATTGAAATTTAGTCACCAAAACTACACCATTTTTGAATCTGTGTTTAATTTAGCGTTCTTCCCTTGAGACCCAGTATATTCTTTTAAATCAGAAGTAATATTTCGTGACTGATAAATTGGTAGAACGAAACTTTAAGTTCCACTTCGAACGTAGGTATATATATATATATATATATATATACCTTAAATATTATTAAAACCTTTAAAAAAGTAAGATAACGATAACTAATTCATCATTCCTCTCGGACCAATCTTAATTGTTTTATGACCCTTCGCGCAGAACTCTTCATTGCCAGTTCAAGAAAAACATTCGGATTACTAACACACAAAAAAGAGAATGTCTCATATCAAGAATATTTAACATTGAAAAACATAAAGGAGAAAAAAATAATTATTTTTAATAATATGTGGAAATCTCCACCTTTTACCTGATGACGGTCGCGAGACCAGAAACGTGTGTAGTAAAATTATGGAAATTACAACCAAAAACGTTTGCGGTATCTCTCTTCTTTTTAAATACACACTTTTCTCTCGTTGGAACTAATATCTAATATAACCACTTCCTTTATATATATATATATATATATATATATATATATATATATATATATGTATGGGAAGCATAGTTGTTACGTATTCCCTGATTTCCTATTTAAGATAGTGTTCAGCATTAAAGAGAAGATAAAGTTTAGGTTTTTGATTACCGATTTTCAAACGTTGAACACCTTTAGCTAAAACATTCATTAGAAAAAAGATAAGTAATTACGAACAGGTGGAGACAAAAACTTACAAATTGAAAGACTAGGGTAATTATGGAAAAACTGAGAAAAAATAAGGAATGTATATTTTGTGTCTTTTCTAATTTTAACCCTTTAACCCCTTCTCATTGTTCAACTTTTCCGCCTCATCGTATATTTTCCTCTTGCAGGCCACTGAGACTTCAACATCGTATTCGGCTTCATCTCTGTCTTTTTGCATCGTTCTTGCTAACAACCATCTTTAATATACTATGGGATGTTCTGGTCTATCATGACCAATTTATTCAACATCCGGACAATGCTTTAATCAACAGAAATACAGTAAGTATATCTTTTTAAAAATGCACCAATGCCCGCATTCGACGACATCGATTTTTTTTGATTTTTTTTACAGATGAAGCACCAAACTTTCATTCTTCATCAGTTCGAGGCTAGGATCAACATTATTTTTTTTAATTCAGACAAGACAGATTCCAGAATTTGTGCAGATGTGCCTGATCCTTGGAATTAGAAAATTTAGGGCAGCATCTCCCCCTTAAATGCTCCACTAGTACCTCTGCAGTTAAGGCTACAGAGACCGGACCTTTTTTTTTTTGTATTTGCCTACAGGTAGATGTAAGGATCCCCCACAGTAAATAACTACACTGAGAGGCAAAGGAAATACCAACATTCTAATTCACTGTTAACGATACACGCGACAGGTTTTTACTATTATTGTTTTGACAAGCAATACAGCTATGGAAGAGTCTTTAGATATACGGATGATATAGTGTTGACAGTAAACACAAAAAGAAAACCAGAATAATTCTAACAGAAGGTAGTAAAGAAAAGCAAGAAGACGGAACTAAACATCAATTGTAAGAAGATAGAATATATGGTTGTCTGCAAATAAAACACACCAACATGCAAATTACAGATTGAAGATACCAAAATCCAGCAATTAAAATGATTATATATCCAGGAAAATTTAAAATAATTCGAAGAAATCCGAAGTTACATTAGGATAATGAAAGATGTCTCCTAAAAGCTATGCAAAGTATTAAGGTACAGGAAAATTTCGTTAAAAACAAAGAAAGGACTACTGAACAGTTATGCAATATCAGTACTCCTCTATTGCAGTGAGTACTGAACAATCACAATAAGAAACTCGTGGCAAAAGAAATGTCGTTCTAGACTAGTATTCTGATGATACCATGTGACCAACGATGAAGTTTTAGAGAAAATTGAAACAAAAACGACTCTTTTATTTAACATCAGAAAGAGACACTTAAAATTTCTAGGGCATATAATGAGGAAAGAAGGATTAGAATATTTAATACTCACAGGACTTATTAAAGACAAAAGAGATAAAGAAAAACAACGCATAATGTACCTAAGGAGCTTTTCTGAGTGGTTGGCAGGACAAATATTAGGAGAGATAACAAAACTATAAACTTTACCAAGAGCTACAAATACAGAAAATTGTAGAGAGCCATACTTTCTGAAATGACGCAACACATGGAAGAAAGAAAAGAACCAGGATTAGATATAAGAGTCAAAAAAAAAAAAAGAAATCTGAAAAAAAACATAATTAATAATTTTTGGCGATCTTATTTCTAACACTCAGATTTCTAGAACTTAGATTTCTAGCACTCAGATTTCTAGCACTCAGATTTCTACAGCCGCTAGGAAATCACTTTGGAAATTCTACAATGGCTAAGAAATCACCGAGAAAGCAGCATTTTTTTTCGGAAATAAGGAATAAGCCGTTTCTTTCTAATCCGCGCTGTTTATTTAATGGTCATAGAATAACAATCTAAATACTGCAATAAGTTACGTAAGCATCACGCCGAAAAACGTAAGCATCACACGAAAATTAATTTAACTTCTTTCCACTGACTCATCTGTTATGTGGATAAATCAATTTTGAGTTCATAAACAAACCAGGCTTAAAACACAAGATTACCTGAAGTCATAACTGAAAATGACATTTTAGTTGAAGTATTACCTTTAGTATGACTAAACAGATCTTTTCGAAGGATCGCCATAAAACAAATCGGATAAAAATTGCCTGTTGCTTGGGCGTCTCTGTAAACAAGTGACTTAGATATTCAATAATTCTTAGAGAAAAAGTCGCTGATATTGAACACGTATTTCTAACATTTAAGTCGCTCAGATTTTTCATCTTTGAGAAAACGAAAAGAAATTAAGATTGGAGTACAGAGTTCAAATTCTATCCCAGACCGTTACGTTCGCTTTCTCACAAATACATATAGAAAGGTAGGAGTCCATCTCTTCCCCCAGCTATGTGTTAATAACATGGCAGACTGGGCTTTCTCTCCTTGGTAAACAACCACTCTTGAAGAATAAAAGCTTTGAATTGAAAATCCACGTTGAAAAGGTGATGAGTTCCTCTCTAATGACTTAGACACAACATTACCGCTACGGATACAGTACATGGGGTTATGAGAATCGTGAACTGATGAAAAAGGTAAGCATCACACCGAAATGACTGTTTCCCCGGCCTTCAGGAGGATCCAAGACCCCAAATAAAAGAAACAAGCTGTTTAGTTGATCTGCTTATAATAAAGAAAAGGAAAGGAAATGATATGAAGAAGTGATATCTCAATGATATCCTATTGTCTTTTTTGATTAATTGTATATCATAAGTGATAACAAATTAGCTGCTTACTCCAGCGTCCAGATATGTATAACCCCAATTTAGGTGAACCGGGCTGAAATGTAGCAGACTTTACATATCAATATAAATGCATTTCGTCTCTCGATTATTTGATTTGAATGAATGTTGTTTATTTTTTTTTAAATTATAAAGTTGTAATTAAAAAAAAATATTAGAAGTGTTTGCATTTATTTCACCAATAATGAATATTACCTTACCCAGGCATGTTCTCTTTTGATTTGCATAAAACTACAGGGTCCATATCTGTTTTGAAAAAAAAAAAAAAATAACAGCGTGGGATCCCATGACCAGAGCGATCACCTGTCACAGAAAAATCTGATTAGTTTAACCGTAAATCCTTGATCAACAATGAAAAGTATGAATATCGACCGACCATCAGATCATCGTATCAAGAAACGCTCAAGCGACATCGAAATGAAAATAAATCTCCATCCGATCCATCAAGTGAGCATCTCTCCACTACATTCGTTATCAGTAGAATATTCATCGGAGATATGAGCATAAGCGAAAACAAGTCATCGGGACATAAAAGTCAAAGAGAGTATTAAAAATAGATATGAACTGACTGAGATAGATAGATAGATAGATAGATAGAGAGAGAGAGAGATAGAGAGATAGATAGATAGATATGAACAGACTGAGATAGATAGATAGATAGATAGATAGATAGAGATAGATAGATAGATAGATAAATAGACTGATAGATATATAAACAGATGAGATAGATAGATAGATAGATATAAACAAACAGATAGATAGATAGATAGATAGATAGATAGATAGATATAAACAGACTGAGATAGATAGATAGATAGATAGATAGATAGATAGATAGATAGATAGATAGATATGAACAGACTGAGATAGATAGATATGAACGGACTGAGATAGAAAGATAGATAGATAGATGGATAGATAGATAGATATGAACGGACTGAGATAAATAGATAGATATGAACGGACTTAGACAGATAGATAGATAGATAGATAGATAGATAGATAGATAGATAGATATGAACAGACTGAGATAGATAGATAGATAGATAGATAGATAGATAGATAGATAGATAGATAGATAGATATATCTTTGAGAGAAAGAGATAGATAGATAGATAGATAGATATATCTTTGAGAGAAAGAGATAGATAGACAGATAGATAGATAGATAGATAGATAGATATGAACAGACTGAGATAGATAGATAGATAGATAGATAGATAGATAGATATGAACAAACTGAGATAGATAGATAGATAGATAGATAGATATGAACGGACTGAGATAGATAGATAGATAGATAGATAGATAGATGATATGAATGGACTTAGATGAATGGATAGATAGATAGATAGATAGATAGATAGATAGATAGATATGTACAGACTGAGATAGATAGATAGATAGATAGATAGATAGATAGATAGATAGATAGATAGATAGATAGATAGATAGATATGAACAGACTGAGATAGATAGATAGATAGATCAAAGAAAGAAAGAAAGAAAGAAAGAGAAAGAAAGAAATGGAGTTTGCTCAATATTGAATTAAGTTTTTTTGATTCCGAAAATTAATTTTGTCTTTTATCTTTTCTTTCTCACAGATTGGTTGCCGCTTTCTATACTTTATGTCCAGGTATTCTAACAACACCAACTATTTCTGTATGTTTGTTGAAGGCTTTTACCTTTATCGACTCTTAGCTGCCACCTTCGAGAAACCAAAAAATCTTGTTGGATATTATATCTTCGGATGGGGTAAGTATTATAAATTGAGGTAACAAATTTTCAAGAAATTACCTTTTAAATAAAATGATATCTTCTTTTGCCAAAATCTGTTTTCGACAAATAATGATGCACTGTAAAGTTACACTATTTACATTATTCGGACTATTGTCCTCATCTTTGTCGCTATTTTTATTACTACGTTTCGGCCGTTGTACGCTCCGATCTTCTTCAGGTGGTTGGAATGTCGAACTGAACCCTTTATTTCGGTCATTGGGATAGACTGTTCTCGTTCAACGTGCTATGTTTAATGGAAGTCAGTTGTCAGTTATCTCCTGTTAATTTCATTCTCCAAGTATTCCACTGCCTTAACCGGGTATTGAACTCACACTCTTTGGGTCTTGTCACTGGATCTAATTAACGCCTTTATCCACGGAGATAACTGATAACTGACATCCATTAGACTTGGCATGTGGAACTATAATAGTCTACCCCAGCGATCGAAATAAAGGTTCAGTTCATTATTCTGAAGAAGACCGGAGCGTACAACAGCAAAATGTAATAAAAAATGACCATGAGAACAATAGTCCGAATAATGTAAATAGTGTACATAATATCTCTTCTCAGAAATATAGACAGATAATGTAAAGTTAATTAGTGATATATATGAACGACCCAGAACATCATCTTCATTTACTAGAAATGCGTTTTGTTGAACATAAGTAAAATACTAAATCTTGTCTTGATGTAATGTTTTGTGTAGATAATGTTTATAATTGACTTTTTTTTTTACTTTCCCACGTAATTCTTTATCGTTCACTGCATTTGAGTCTCTCTCTCTCTCTCTCTCTCTCTTTCGCTAACTCCCGTGTTCACACCAACTAGAATCACTTGTGGAGAGAGAATGAAGACTTTATTATTTAATCTTCATCTATTTTCATATAAACCGTAACCTATTCTTTTGTTTACAGAATCACTTCAACAAACTTTGTTGAATTAAATGAATGCCTTAATCGGCTAATGAAACGGAAAATATGAGGTTATTTTCAACAGTCCACTGTTGAACATTAGTTTATCTATCGAGCATATTATAAAATCATAATTTTTCCCTAGTATTTCTTCTCTCATAATTTTCATTGTTTCATCACCCGCTATTTTCAAGCTGTTAGTAAGACGGAAGGCTTCACAGCCTGATAGGTAAAGCGGTTGTACTTTTAAGTCTGGATTCTCGAGAATAATGAGAGTACGAATTACACCGAAACAGTAGGGTTTTTCTTTATATTCGATCTCCGCTGCTTAAAAACGGCTGTAGAATGGCGATCTGAAATATATATATATATATATATATATATATATATATATATATATTGATGTAATGGAATAACCTGGAACCCCCATAAATGACTACACTATAGCTAGTAACTGCCTATAAGTATCCGTAAGGCAACGGACTACAGAACCTAGCCGAAATCTTTTGAGCTAGACGGTCGAACTCTATGCCTCTGAGCAGAGAGGAATCCGGACGAGGCTCTGCTGAAAGGCAGAGTCTCGTTCGGGGAGGTAAACCAACTGTTATACCAGAACATTACCTATTCTATTGTAATAGACACTCCCACCCATAATAAGTAGTAGTAGTAGCTGTCGCGAGTTGAGCTCAGTGGAGTTGAGTGAGTCAGTCGATGTCGGACATTGAAGTATCAACCATCACAACTAGATTGCTGCGTCATTAACTCTTATTTCAAGTTCCTAACGTTTTGTACGTCGGACCCTTATAGGACCGACTTAGCGAAATACAAGCCTCCACTGTGAAAACTACTCTACAACACCAACCCAATCCCGTTTATGCGGGTTCTACGTGGAATTTTTGCCCGAGCCTACGGGCTCGGATACCCCACGTTAAATTCGGCCTTGAGCTACATCTGACTGCGTGAGGCGGTTGACAAATATACGAGCTGAAATATTTTTCGGTTGTACTGTCAAATTCTCTGCCTTTGGGCAGAGAGGAACACAGACGAGGCTATGCCGATGGGCAGAGTCTCCTCTGGGGTGGTAGACAGCTACCCGGCTCCGTTTTTTACAGGGTCTACGGGGAATCTTTGCCAGAGCATACGGACTCGGATATCCCCCGTTAAATTCTGCCTTGTGCCACATCTGACCGCGTGGGGCGGTTGGCAAATATCCTAGATGAAATATTTTCAGCTATACAGTCGAACTCTCTGTCTTCGGGCAGAGAGGAACCCGGACGAGGCAATGCCGAAGGGCAGAGTCTCGTTCGGGGAGGTAGACCGACCCGATCCAGTTTATGCGTGTTCTACGGGTAATATTTCCAGCCTTGCTTGGGATGAAACGCTTTAAAAAAAAAAGAGCACTTGCGAAATAATCCTTTTTAATTTAAGAAAAAAGCTGAAAGTTTTTACTGGTTCAGTATTTTTTTCTAAAGAACAAATACTGAACTTTGCCACTCAATTGTCAACACACACACATATACATACACATATACATACACATACATGTGTGCGTGTCTATGTGATACATTTCTACATCAGGTGTCCATTACATAGAGATGGACATTACATAGGGCTTCCACTTCTTTTTGTAGCGGATTCTTGTGACCTAATTGAAATAGAATTTGACGTCATATATGTATTGCCTTTGAACAGAATTTAAAAATCCGAAGATAGAAGTAAATATTAAAAGATAATCTTGAAAATTGCATATGAGATTAAAAAAAAATACCCAATAATAAAATTCGAAGCGTAAAGGTGAAATTAACAAAATGAATATTACTAAAGATAAATAATATTCAGACATTACAGATGACATCGATAAGTTAAATTTGGTAAACGGTTCTTCATATTAACCACTAGAGATTAGCGTAACGTAATCTTCCTAAAAAGGGTTTTATAATATATTATACCCAATTTTTATACATCTCTTTGACAAATTTTCTTTTAATATATTCTAGAAAACTGACATTATAAAAATGTGGACGAACCAGTAGAGGTGCAGAAAATGAAATGTCTTTAATTTAGCAAAGTAAGATTGAATCTGTGTTGAGAACGCCGATTTATAAAGCGTTCGTAATGAGATTAACTTTTAATCTAATACTCTTATGGTTTTTCTGCGCTATGTGCATTTCAGGAGAGTAAGAATGAAAGGGAAAACACCTGAGTGGCGATCATTTGTTTTGGAATAACTATGGCCAATCGTATGTTAAGCCAGAAACGCTTCTAGCCCCAATTTCAGACCTCAAACTGTCGAAATAATAATTGCCCCGTTTTTGGCACATGTCGACCTATACAAGATCGAGGACGAAGATGAGCAGTTATCTGACTTACTAACCTGGCGTTTGGAAACAAAAGAGAGTGGTGTTGAGCTGTAAATAAGTACCATTGATGGTGAGGGTAGAGGTAGAATTCTATTCTTTACTTAAAGGGAAATATTGAAAAATAACCTTGGCTCGTCGACTGGTCCGAAATGTTCCTCCATAAGAATCAAATATAAATATTGTAAATAGCTTCTATGCGGAACGCTGCTCATTATTTTAAAATGCAGCTTGGCCTTTTCTTATTTTGATCTGTACATGCATATATATTTACTAGCCTAGTCTGGCACAGGGCCAGAAAAATATGGTACCCAATTATAATAATCATTACACTAGCAGTAATACAGCAACCTCTATGCCATGCACTTTTCATCTCTTTGCGTATATGTGTGTTACAACGTCAACCGATAAAAGTTAAATGGTAGGATGATTGTATTGCACTTGAATGTTTAAGTTTTTAACATTTATTAATTAGTTTAGTACGGCACTTATTAAAATGGAATGAAATTATGAAAAACAAAATTGTGTTGTGTCGATGTTTAAAAGGTGGAAAGACCTGCATGCTTTCAAAAGTAGGATTCTAGATTCTCGCTTTTACCTGGGTTTGAAAACCAACGAGGAAATATGCAGTTATCTAAGCCACATAGCAGGTTTTACAATCCGAAGATATTTATTTCTCTTAGCTTATTCTGACACAAGACCAAATGAAGCGAAATCGATGTAAGAAGATTAAGTTAACGATGAAGGTCTGTGTGCATGAAACAATAGCATTGACAATCCTTGCTTTTATCTGAGTTCTAAGAACGGCCACTGACGCCTGCTAAGAAATGGGCAGTTACCACAGCCACGAGGTATGTCTCATGTTTTGGACAACTGTTAATGGGATAACTTTACTATCCTCCTCACACCAACACACGGCGGGGGGGGGGGTAGGATATTAAATTGATTTCTTTCATTATTATGTTCCAAATCGGAATTCTTCGTTTGCTGGTGGATAGTTCATCATCACCTGAACGGATTTTAAAAATATATTTTCTGGCTTTTCCTGTTTATTTTTGTTTTTTTTTTGTTTTTTTTTGGGTTTTTTAAATTGAGGTACACAGGGATCTTTACTGAGTCTATCTTGACAGGTGTAACAGATCTTGTTGCAATTTTTTAATTCTCTTTACAGCAAAATTTGTTTTTAAATATTTTTTCGAAAACTACCGAACATTTTGTAAAAATAATAGTAAGTGGTGAATTTCACTGCTGTTAAAGCGACTAGAACCCTCTTCTCAGTGTTCTCCTTAATTACGTTAATACTGTTGTATGGAATGTTCCGATTCCTTATTATGAAAAAATAATAGTAAGTGATGATTTTCACTGCTGTTAAAGCGACTAGAACCCTCTTCCGATTCTTTATTTTGTATCACTTGTTTTATGTGTATATTTCATTTATTTTAACATAAGTATGGAGTATTGAAATTCGTTGATGATCAAGTAACACAAGTCTCATAAATACACTGCATCTACATCTGTATTTTAGTCGAATGAAAATCTTCAAGACAACAGAATTATAATAATTACTCTTTTCTTGGAGATTCGATTCTTTCTTGGATTTTAAGTTCTTCCATTTTATAGGCTCTTTGGAATTACTGCGAATACATCAATAATTATAGACAAAAAAGTCACCATCATGTTAAACAATTTTTTTCAATTCTTTTACAAG